CCACGCGCCCACGGGGCTCACGTCGTTCTACCCGAATTGCTTACGTCACCCCAGGGTGCCTCTCACTCTTCGAGGAGACACTGCATCCTCTATTTTAAGTGAGAGGGGGGGGCTCGGAAAGCTCTTTCCCCGCAGGTCTCGGATGTGAGACCGGTTTCACTGTGGAAACAAGTGGAATTCTTTGTGGATACCAAGCTGAGCGCTCTCAGCAGGGTCCGCGATGCCATGGCAGCGGCCCAGGACAGACAAAAGGAGTACTCTGACAAACATGGAAGAGGAAACTTAAGTGCATTTAAGGTGGGGGACTTAGTGCTATTAGACACGAGGAACCTACCGCTAGACACTGTCAGCTCTGTCGGCAGCAACAAGCTGAAGCATCGCTTCATCGGACCATTCGCAGTCCTGGCCAGGCATGGTGCGTCGTACACCATCGATCTGCCTAAGTCAATGGCGACGCACCCGACGTCCTACGTTGGACGTCTTAAGCGGTACTATGATCCGCAGGGGGTTGCTGACTCGCAGACCCACCTTGGCCGGACTCCTCGAAGCGAGGGCCGGCCACAGACGTCGACGAGGGCGTCGGTGCAGGCACCCAAGCCTCGGTTTGAACGGCAAGGCTGCGATCAAGACCATACGCAGGAGGGCCCCCGTACGAACGGACCCCGGAGCCGTACACCGAGTACGTCGAGTACATCGGGTACGCACCATACGCGTACGCCTGAGCGTGCGCTGAATGCGACTCCGGACGTGGCAGCAGAGCCTCGTCCAGCTCGGACGAAGAGGGCCGCCGGTCCACCCGCAGATGAAGGCTCGAGACCTCACGCTCCAACAGGTCCAGGTGGTCCGCAAGACGAGCGAGCTCACCCTGATTCCCGGCCTGGGCGGCAGCATCCCCGCCAGTCCCAAGGCCAAGTGCAATCCCAAGCACGAGGACACGGTGACGAAGGCGATCAACCAAAGGGCCCTGCGTCGGACCCGCAGGAGAAGAACTCGGACGAGAGTAGCGTTCGGGAGGCGCCGAGTACTCGTACTCGTACGAGGGCACCTCTGCCCCTGCTTGACCGGAGCGGAGAAGTCCACTATTACGTGGAGCTTATTCTCCAGAAGCAACGGCGTCGCGGTAAGCGACAGCTCCTCGTGAAGTGGAGGGGTTATGCCCACTCCGAGAACTCGTGGAAGCCGATTGAACGGCTCCTGATTGACTGCCCGAAAGCTGTCGCAATCTGGGAACAGAAGCGGCGGCAGCTTCATAAGTAGTCCGAGGCTTCTTGCCCGAACGGGGTACGGACGTTGACGACACTCCGTACCCGCGCTTATCGTGAGCGCTAGAAGCCGCGTGCTTCAGAATGTCCCTTGGCAGCATGCGCTTTCTGACCAAGTGGACAAACCGAACACGGAGATCACGCTGGTCCAGGATGCGGGACAGCAGCTGATCTTCATGTAGTTCCCGCAACTCCGAGGGTGAGTACTTGAGAGACTCCACCCAAGCCCAGAAGATGTCCTCACATGAGTTCCAGTTGGGACAGTCCTCAGGAAGAACCCATATATAGCGCCGGATATGGTAGAGATCACACCGGCTCTCGGGCTTCTTATGACAAGTCGTGAAGTCCTTTAGAGGGATATGGGGAGGCGCGAGAAGCACACATCGAGCCGCCTCCAAGTTGTCGACAAACAACTGCTCCTTCTGGACCAGGGTACGTTCGCAAACGCCCCTAGAGGTGTGGCCGCCAACAAGGCCACGAGAAGCGACAAGAACCTACAGGAAGAGGTCAGCCCCAGAGCTCTCCGCGGAAGGTCAGTACTCTCCTGAGTTGATGACAGCCTCCTGCCACCACCAAACCCCCACGCGCACGCTGGGCAGCTTGGAAGTCCTCCTGCTGCTGGTCGAGGTCGTTAGTGATCTCCCGGGGCTCAGGAATAGCACCCTCTTCCTCCTCCTCTTCGTCCTCTATATCCGAGGAACCGAAGAGGTTCCGATTGGAGTACCCAGTCTCCTTCTCCTCGCGGAGTGGAGACTCCGAAGCCGTACGATTCTTAGAGGGCTTGACGCATTCGGCTTTAGCGGTCTTAGCACGTGCTCGGCCCTCGGCAAGCGAGAGACGTTTGCGAAGTTTCTCCTCCTCGTCGTCGCCAGCTTTGGGGGCGCCCTTAGCCTTGACGGTCGGGCTCTCAGAGCGCACAGACGTCTTGGGACTGTGATCACCGTGATCACTAGCGAGCGAGTGTACGCTGTCGTCCTTGTGCTCGCTGGGCACTGAGCTGTGCTCTCCCACGGAGCCCACAGGAGCATCGTGCATGCTCTCAGACTCGGCTTCGTCCTCACTACCCGAGCCGAACTCACGTTCAGCGAACGGAGGGTTCGGATGGGTGTCTGGGGAGGTCGAGGGTGACGGACTGCGGCGCTTGCTCGCACGCTTGCCCACAGCCGCGTCACCAGATGAGCCGATCGCCTCGGAGGCCACCTTAGTAGCCTCCTAGAGTGTTGAGCCTTTGCCGTGAGGCTTACTGCTCTTGGCTTGCGCCTTACACGACTGAAACAAGAGTGAAGGTAGGCTTGTTGACTGGTGCGAAAACTGGACGGTTGCCGACTAGTTGAGTTTGAGGAAAAATGTCAAATGATCTCGAAATCCATACTCCGTCACCCTCGCTGCTATCCGCGCTCTCACGGTCTGACCTCGGTACCTTTTTATCAACTGTTTCACGGAGCTGGCAGCACTATTTATAAACCTTTTTGAACCTAGATCTTAAGTAATGCTAGACCACGGTCCGCTGCGAGTGAGCAAGTGGTAGAGCCGCGAGAGGCTGGGCAAAAGGATGACCAGCAGCGAGTGGTGGAGCCACAGCATGAAAGGCCAGGCGCAGTAATAAGTCAAGATAGCGCTGCAGCTGAGCGACCTGACTCTCTAGGTCGAGGTCTCTGCTCTGAGCGGACTGGAATCATTCCATGCGGCTATGCGAATCTTTGAGATAGTTAGCTAAGCGGTCTACCACAGCATTCGCGTCAAGAACAAAGTCGGTCAGAGAGCCAATACAGCTCAACCAGTCGCTGTGACTCGCGACGCGGAGGTCCAGCCGAGGCTCGACCCGCTCTGCTCGGCAAGCACGGTGCGCTACACTATCCCGTGGAACGTCTTGTGATGCGCGACATCAAACTTAGCATTTGATGAAGTGGCGAGGCTGTCCTCGTTTTCCCTGACGTCCAAGACGTGTATGACCGAGCATATCCATTGCCGAAGCATCACCATGGCGTGTGACATCATCACCCGGTGCTGAGAACTTCTCACAATCGTGAGGAGATGACAGGTTAGTAGCTGACCTCAGGATCTACCAGTGCCTAAAACAGCCGGGTCGTAAGAGTGAGCAGTTGTGACGGGGTCACACAGCACCTTGCGCTAGAGGAAGCTAGCTTCCGAGAGTATACAAACTCTCAGTGAACGGCAGTTCATAGGTCCCCTTTTACCGAAAGAGAGCGAGGTGACCAATTTAAGGTAGGTTATATTTATAGGTAGGCTAAGCTTGAGTTAAATATAAAGCTATAAGTCACCTATAGAAAAGCAATGTCATCAACCAATGGTTGGCCTCGGACGACCTTGGTACCTTGTACTAAATATCCCTAAGTATGACGTGTCACACTTCATGTAACTAGAGGTACACTTAGGGCTACAAACCCCGTTACATCCTCCCCCACTTAGGTTCGGTTTACCGACCAATCAGAATGAAGAAGTGTACGTCACAAACTTTCATTCTCAAAGTCGAAATACATCGACCTGGCCGCGCGAGCGCGGGGGGAGGCTCACTTCACAGTTAGAGCCTCGAGCAGCAGTCTGTGCGCTCCTCTTCTTCGTCTCCACTTCGACCGTTACCATGCCCCGTGCCACTGTGAAGAGCGGTGCGAAGACACGCCTCCAAGACTGCTGCCGGAAAGGCTCCCTACTTGCCCTCAACGTTCCCGTCCGCTCTAATTAACTTGCAGCGGTGGCCTCTGAGACGCTTGAGTTAATATCTGCGGCGGGATTTGATCGATGGCGCTGCTGTAGAGCTACTCCAGTCAGCTGTAGTAAACGATGCGTCGAATGATCGAGCTGCAACTAGGGAACACGGCAACACTTAGGCTGATTTAAAAATGACTATTTGCTGGAGATGCTCTAGTAATTTACAAAATTTGCCCACCATGATTTAATCCTGGTGGGCTTTTAAAATAACGTCAATACCGGTGGCCAACAGCCCCAAAAATGAATTATTTTCCAAATATTATCATCTTTCACAGTGTTTTTCAGTGTTTCCCCCCTCTTTACTGCCCTCATTTCCCCCCGACCAAGTGCCCCACCCTACGGCGGGGTGTTTCAGTCATTTTATATCGAGGGCGGACTGCACTCTCGTAATAGGCTGCCTCGTCATGGATCCCTCATCTGCGGGCCCTCCTGCCTACCGCAGTGGCCAGTACTGGACGCCTGCCATGGAGTTATCTCCACCACAGTCCGAGGGCGGCAGCAGCTTCGAGGAGGAGAAGGACGAAGCGCCAAAACCACGCGGGATGGACCTGCTATTGGCCCCGCGCTCTTACAGCAGCAGCGAGGGGGACGACGACGCCGAGCGTAGCGCCGACAGCAGCGAGACGACGCACGCACCTTCAGTCCAGGACGAAGACGAGGATATGACCGCCTCCTCGGCCGTCATGTCGATGGGCCAGTCCAAACACAAGAGACGTAGCGACTCCATTGACGACTTGGAGCTGAGCGTCGAATCTTTGCGGTTCTTGGCGCATCAGAGAGGCCTCGACACGTCTGCGCTCAGTCATTGGAGCGTCCGCGACGACGGGAAGCTGCTGGATGCGGAGCAACACAAGTACCGCAGCTTGAGAGACGCGCTTCGAGCCTACACGCACCTGATGCAGGGCGCAATCCCGCGAGAAGACATGTATTACCTCGCTATCCTAAGGAGGAAGATGGCGGAATTGGAGATGCCGCTGGTGGACGGACCCATCAGTGTCATGAGTCTGGGCGCTGTGGTCCCGGAAGAACACTTTTACTCGAGCAAGAAGCTGTTCCCTATTGGATACGAGACACTGGTCAAGGTGCAGATGACCAAGCCATTGACTATCGCGTTTCGGTTGCGCTGCAGTACGTGGAACATTTTTTTTTATCGTAGTTTATATCTACTGGACGGGACTAATTTTTTTTTATTGGTTTTTGCTATTTTCTATTGCAGAAATTGTGCATGGCAATAAGAAAAAGTCTCCAATTTTCGTAGTGGAACTGGAGAATAGCGCCGTCGAGATCGTGTTCAGGTCGTACGTGGCGAGTAAAGCGTGGAAGAAAGCTCTGGTGCATTTCGAGAGCTTGACAGCCGATGAACTCGTGGCTGTAGTGAGTGGATCGGTGTTTACAGTGGAGACTGACGTCAGTGGGAGACCTGTGGACGTGCTGACGCCTGCTAGCGGGGAGGATGGCTTCGGTCTGCTACGAAGAAACGTCACACGGGTACTGGAAGGCCTGCATCAAGTGCTTTGGTGTGGAGATTATCAATTCTGGGAGCAGCGACATCCCATCACACCCGATGTGCATGCGAACATTCGCTCACGACTCAAAAGTCAAATGAAAGATGCTCTGAAGACGCAAAACGCGATGTCCAAGGACGCAATTAACCGCCTATTGTCGCAGGAAGCGTTGTTGGAAGAGCACTGCCGTGATCCCGAGGAGACCGAGCGTGTGCTGCAGCAGAAGGAGAAGGACCAACGCGAAGCTGACAAGCGCAGCGTGCGAGAAGCTGCTCGAAAGCTGCTAGAGATCGAAATGAAAGCGCAAGAAGATGCGAAGGAGGCCCAACGACGAGCTAAAGAAGACCGGAAAAACGCGATTCTGGAGGCTAAAGTGGAAGCGGCTCGACAGAAAGAGGCTCGGAAAGAAGCCATGCGACTGGCAAGAGAGGAGGAGAAACGAGCGCGTGAAGAAGAAAAGGAGCTAAAGCGTGCACAACGCGAGGAGGACAAACGCAAGAAGATGGAGGAGAAGGAAAACTCGATGAAGCGGAGGATAGAGGAGCTACGACAACGGCGTCAGATGCGCGAGGAACAGAAGGCGATTCTCGAGAACGGCGTCGTGACATCTTCATCCCCAAGACGGTTCAGTGACTCCAGGAAGAGGAAAGCAGCTCCCGATCCACAGTCTGTGAGGCAGCAGCACATGGCGCTGCTGAAATTTGTTGAAGACGAGAGAGAGCGAAGACGACAAATCCGGTTATGGGACAAGAGGAGCGAGGTGGAAGGCGAAGTCTGGACTCGTGTGAAAGCGCGCTACACTCAGAAGCTGAAGAGCAGCCACGCTATGTCCAACGATAAGCGTGCAGCCGGGGGAGACACGAAGTTCCCAGCTCAGGTGATCTCCGCAGCGGTCGAACTGGATTTAGTGCCGACAGAGTCTCATGGTGATTTGCTGTTCGTTTGGGATTTCATTTCGACCTTCTCGGACGTCTTGAAGCTGACGGCGCTGCCCTCGCTTGCGGTATTTGTGGATATGATGACGCTGAGTGATGGCTCCAGTCCTGTTGGGGACGGCGACTTGGACGACGACTCTGTTGCTACCCTCTTCGCTTCGGTACATGTTGAGCTGCTGAAGGCGCTGATGAGGGAGTATTTCCCGCTGCTTCAAATGGGAAACACACTGGAAGAATTCCATCGTACACGACCTATGAACGCGTTTAGCTGGCCGGAACTTGCACGCCAAGTCTGTCAATTGGCGATGGAGTTTAAGCATCCTAGTCCGGATGAACAACTGCTCAAGTCGATCAAGGGCTCCAAGTCGTATCGAGATGACGCTGTGACGCAGCCACTGCGTCAGAAACTGCACCGTCGAGGAACTAATTTGCTGAAGGGAGTGCAGTTTGAAGAAGAGAAGGAAGAAGCAGAGACTGAGACTCATAGTCTGCCTACGACGAACTCGGTTACGTTGGCGTCAGAAGCGAGTACTGTGTCTGCTGCGTCTAGTGATTACTACGGCGTCGTCCTGGTTGGTGGAGTATCCAGTAAGATCAAGATTGGGGAGAAAGACAGCCACCTCGTCGTGACAGAAATCGCTGGTTCTTCTAATGAGGATGAGCTTGAAGAAGCTACGAAGACGAAGGATGATAATGCTGACAGGATTCGAGTTGGCGATTATCTACTGTGTGTGAACGGCCAAGATGTCCGGGAAATGTCGCTGGAAGACTTTGACAGTCTTGTGACTGGACTGAAGACGCCTCACGGCTTGTTAATGTCCTCGATTCCTCCTGCGGTGAAGAACCCCATGAAGCACATCGCAACGACGCGAGGCGCGACGAAGATCAAGTGCTGTGGATTTGTGCTCAAAGTTCTTCGAGCGAAGGAGATCGCGGCCCCGTTTAATCAACCAGTGGACGCGGAGCTGTATCCGGACTACTATTCCAGTGGAGATATCACGGAACCTATGGATTTGGGCACGATTGCCGAGAAGATCGAGGATGAAGACTACGAACACGATGATGTCGAGTCTTTTGTGGATGATGTACAGCTGGTGTGGAGAAATTGCTACACGTACAACTCGTTGAAGGCGGAAATCTCGACGCTGGCGCAGAAGCTGTCAGTAATATTTGAGCGGTTGATGAAGGAGTGGGTCTATACGACTGTGAATCGCCCTATGATCGCCGCAGAGGAAGATAATTGCCGCAATTGTCAGACGATCCACGCGAAAGGTCGATTGCTGCTCTGTGATCGCTGTGATGCACCGTATCATACGTTCTGTCTCGAGTCGCCGCTGCTTGAGATCCCAAAGAGCGAGTGGTTCTGTCCGACGTGTCTTGCAGACCCCTCGTTCTCACCTGAACAGTTCCAGAAGAAAGCCCGCGATATGGCTGTAGACTCGAGTGGCAACTCTGGCAGCAGTGAGCTCAAGGACAGCTCGCTTACGGAGCTGGAGAAGCGGCTCTTGTCTGCGATTGATCTTTTATCCCAAGAAAACTACTCGAAGCTTACTGTCAGCGATCGATTGAAGGTGCTGAGAGTGTTGTGTGAGCTGCTTGAGGAGACGTCAGTGGTGCAGTCCGTGTATCATTCTCTCGAGGGAAAAGCAAGTAATGCGAGGAGGAAACTGGGCGAATCTCTGGCTGATTTACAGCGCGAATGGGACCGATTCGTCCCACCTCGCACGTCGCACGGAGTGGAGCAGACCAAGAAGTTTATTGTCGATGGCGTTGAACACGATCTAACGGATGATTTGTTGACGTACTTGGAGGACAAGGCCAAGGCTGAACTGGAGTCAAGACCTCTTCCCATGCTGCCTGCAAGTGCGAAGCAAAAGGGTCGTGGTGAGACTATCGTTGTTAAGAAGGAGCCTGGACCTTTGCTGGTAGAGGATGACACAGACTCGTCCGACTCTGAAGACGAGGAAGATTTGATCTTTGAAGAGTTTGGCGATCGATTATTGTCGCTGTCTGACGAACAGACCGTTATAGATGGAAGTGGATTGACGCTGTCTCGACCGGTGTGTGCCTTCTGTGGCTTGGAAGATGGAGTCTTGAACGGGTCTCTGCGTTCCTGCAAGCAGTCGCCTTTGACTGCCCATACGACGTTGCTGAATCAATACGAAGTCCCGGAGCTTTTGACAGGAGAAAACGCTATGCTGGCTGTACGTACGCTTGGAGCAAATGATCTCGCAACTGTGGTTCTGGAAGACACGGCAGAAGGGGTGCAATACTCTGCTCAAGGCCAGGTGGGTAGCCAGTCCGAGTCCGATGGCATCAAGGGTATCGTGTACGCCGTTAATGACCGTGTAGTGTTTGGTATGAGTCGCGCTGCTATCCAAGAGCAGCTGAGGACTGCAGCACAGCCGATTTTGTTGTATTTGACGTCGCTGCCTGGAGAAGCTGTGCGCGCCTCCGTGTCGATCGTCAAGTGTCACGGCCTGTCGATGGGTCTGACGGTAGCATCTCGTGAATCTTTCGTCTTTGTTCAGTCTTACGACACTTCGGAAGTAGGATTTGGCGAGCTGTCTGGCCAAGTGTTTCCAGGCGATGTGCTGCTAATGGTGAACAGCGTTACGACACGTGAGAAGGACGTTGCGGAGGTCGAGACCTTGCTCCGAGTGGACAACCCATCAGACGTCATGTACGCTGTGTTTGTGCGTCAACCATCGACTCAGATGAGGAAGGTGTGTGAGGAGAGACAACGTACAGTACACGACGTGTCTTCGCAGCGAGCAAGAGAGAGTACGTTCCGAGCTGGACTTGTCATCCCGCAAGCAAGTGGCATAACCTCGTACGATGTCATCTTTCAAGACGGCCCGCTTGGCTTAGCTCTGGCACTAGAACCGCGAGGCGTGGTGGTCAAGTCATTGAACGATCATGCTGACGGTACGATGGGCCAAGCCTCACTCAGTGGTCGCATCTTACGCGGAGATTTGGTGGAGCAAGTGAACGGTGCAACGTATGGTAAGCTGACGGATCTCTCGCAGTTCACTTCGTGGTTACTGGGTTTACCACGGCCGTTAAAGATCACGTTCTCCAGACAGCCACCTACTGGAGCCAATAGTGTGACTCCTGAGCAGGCGAACAAACTTATGGTAGACTTGGTGGCTAACCCATCGTTACTCTGCAAGCAGCTGAAGCTCTCTGGCCCCAGTGACGTCAAGACGTTCCGCGTTGACTCTTTCCCGCTTCCATTTGAGGCTGAGAACCTGCTCGACAGTATTGGTGTTATTGCGACGAACGGCTTAGTGTACTGCGAACAGCGTCAGGAGACGACTCTAGTCACGGTTGCGGTTGGTGATCTTATTGTGGGACTAAACGGGAAATCGGTGGCTGGTTTGAGCTGGGCAACCGTCAAGGCATTGTGTGCAGAGCTGTCGTCCATGTGTGCTGTGTATCTGCACCTCACTCCGTTCGTCAGGCCCACGACGTCGCTGCAGGCTCACGAATGCTGTGTCGAGAGCGCAAATGTGGCCTGGTCAGAGTGTGGGTCAATGCTCCCTCGAGTCGAAAAGGCAAGAGAGCTCGAGAGCTTCATCAAGTGGCTGATCATTCCAAGAACTTTAGCCTTTGGCAAGTGTCGACATGGCTACGCGTTCTACCGTTTCTTCAGTGATCATCAGCGTTTGTTCGTGCTGTCACCGGACAAGAAGTGGTCGGTGTGTGCCACGAAAGAGCAACTGACGCAACTTCTGGCGTACTTGGAAGAAGACTCGAGAGACGCGAAGATTGCGACGCGGATACGGTGGTGTTTCCATTGGATTCTTCACGATGACATGGCAAAGTTGCAGCTGCAGCAAGGGTTATCATGCTGTGCGTATTCAAGCAAACACTTCCTTCGCGATGGACCTTTTGCTATTGAAAAGGAAGTGCTGCTTGCTATGGACGGAGATATGGAAAAGTACGAGTCTCTTGTGGCGTACAACGGACGTAAATTCTATCTCGGATCGTTTTATTCGCAACAGGAGGCCGAGAACGCGTTGCAAGGTGCAGAGACTTCAATCCAGTCGACAGGGTTCCATGCTGTGGTGGCTGCTGATGTACTTAGCTTACGGAATGCCCACTTCCCTTCTCTGACAGCGCCATACCCGAAGGCAGACAACGTGGCCAAGCGTATCTTGTCGCGCAAGTACGAGTATGGCAGTGTGATGGACGGGAAAGGCGGCATGAAGCCTATCCCGATATCGCACGAGGTGTACAATATTGTGAAGCGTGGGCTTCGATCGGACAAGGCGATGATGAATAACGTGGGGTCCGGGATGCAGCAAGCTGGGATGCCGCAGATGTCGATGACAGGAATGCAAGGAGATCTCCAGTCGAATGCTTACGCTGCCGCTCAAGCGCGTTACCAGGAGGCATTGAAGCGGAAGTACGCGCAGACGGAAGATCCGTACGCACGCCAGATTGCTGATCAGATGAAGCGGACCCGATATGCAGACCCAAGCGCAGCTGCAAGAATGCAGCAGCCTCTTGGAGCCACCAATCCGGTTTCCTTCAAGCGCTCGCTGCAGGCTCTAGTGGACCAAGGACGAGCGATGTTGGCAGCGTGGAACCAGTTCGCTGCGTCGGCTACTGTTCAAACTACGAACGGGTTGGCGTACGCGTGTTTGTCGAGCTTTGAAGAGGTGAAGAAGGTGGTGTCGCGTATCGTTGTGGATCCGAACGCGACACTTCCAGACCCAAAGACATTCGTATGTCTCCATCATGCGTTTGTGATGGGATTGGTGTGCGCGATGGCTACACAGGCGCTCACAACGAGCCAGAAGGCGCAGTCGGACTCTGCGCTGGTGAAACAAGTGGCAGATGCCTTCGCGACGGCCATTCTCAGCTGTGTGGACCCGTCCAGTATGCTGCGCGCACGTGCACTAAGTGGCTTTGCTAATGCCGCGAAGAAATGCGAGCCGGCTCAACGTGCTGCTGATTTGTCCGTCGAGCTTCATAACGTTGCGAACTTCGTGTTGATGTTCTTACGGACGACGCGCTACTTGTCAGGCACTACTTTCGACGACCCCAGCAAGTGTCGACCGCTGTTCACAGCCTCCACGCCAGGCGTCGAGTCTCTGCCTGCTTCATTCGTGCAACAAGTCAACCTTCTCGAGAACATTCGACAGGCGTATTACCGCAAGACGAACGTGGCTTCCAGTGTATCTATGTCCACTACCAACCAGCCGATTACGTCAATATCAGCGGCGTCCTTCGGATCTTCGATGCCTATGCAGACAAGCAATACTCAAGCCAGTAATGAAGGCACTCTGGTAGACGTGGAGTTTGGATTGGGCCCATTGGGTGTGGTGATTAACTATTCGAACCGCGGAACGATCATCGTCACGGAGTTCTCTAACGACAACAACATGATGGGACAAGCTCAGGCCAGTGGCAAAGTGCAGGTGGGAGACGAGGTGTATGCTGTGAATGGCCAGAGGCTGGACGTCATTGGCATGGAAGGGTTTAAAAGAGCTGTGGGTGCTAGCAAACGCCCGCTGCGCGTGACGTTCCGGAGGCTTTCTCGCGGTGCAGCTAGCCATGTTCCAGTTCATAATACCGCATCCAATATGGCATTCCCCGTAGGTGGAGCTCCTCTCGCTCAGGTTTCGTCTGCCTTGAATCAACAAGTTCAACAGCCGAACGCTTTTCCTCCAGTTCCAGCCATGAACAACAACGGAGCTTTTCCCATGGGTAACGTGAATGCAGGCGGGAACTTCCAGAACTCAGCCTCTGGACAGTTCCCTGGCATGGGCGACGGCATGAATATGTTCCCGTTCCCCGCACCAGCGAGTCAGCCAATGGGGGACCCGTCGACACAGTTTAACCCACCGATGCCGACAAACCTGCCTGGGTTCATGGGTGATATGTCGGGACAGTCATTCCCTGCGCCACCTATGGGTGGCCAGAACTTCAACACGTTGCCGAACGTCTACAATGTCGCAGCTGGACCAGGTGCGCAGTCCGCGGGAGCATGGCAAGGTGCTGCTAATCCGATGCTACAGCCATTTCCACCCGTTCCAGCGCAGAATGGGATGAATATGAATGGCGGTGGCAATGTGATGCCAATGGAACCCTTGCCGATAATGCCGAATGCGTCGTCAGCAATGAACTTTCCGTTGGCCCTGCCAACGTCTGGAGCTCCGAACTCGTTCCCGAACAACAACTCGACAGGAGAATACGTGAATTTTGTTGCTGGGAACGACCCTCAGTTGCCGCAGGGAGATCCATCGCAAGTTAATTATTATGATGCGAACGGGACGACCTTCCGTGCTGCAGGAGACTTCGAGATCGACACACGTGTCAACATATCGACCGAGTTAGCTGCCCCGGAGTCTGCAGAGACGAGTGCAATTGCTGACGTGGATACGGAGCCTGAGTCTCCGTCAATCTCACAAGTGACGACGCCGGGGCAATCCGACACGGACGGCGAACGCAGCGAAGCGGATCGACAGCGCGATCGTGCGGAACAGCTAGCGAGATTGACAGCAGCGTCCGATGCACTGCAAAGCAGCTCTACAGAAGTGAGCTCGAGCTCTAAACCGGCGTTGACTACACAAGCTCAGTTCACCCCTGAGGAGAGTGTCGCGCTTGAAGCAGTTGCAGCTCAGGCTTCAACAGTGTCAGTACCAGAAGTAGTGCCGGAAGGGAAGCCGCCGCTGCAGACTACCAGGTCATCGCCTCGTGCTCAAACTGGTGGGAAGGAGCTCCGGCTAACGGAAGAGACAGTGTCTAGAAGATCATCACGAGTGTCTCGCAAGATCACGAACATCGCAGATATGTACGACCCGGATTTCATCAAGGCTCATGCCAAGGGCGGAGGAAGCGGGAGCGACGTTGGGATGGACGAGCCTACAGATGGAGAGATCGGAGAGCTGTCGACTGAGTTGCTGGAAAGTTTCAGTGCCACGATCTGTCCACTGAAGAAGGACCCCCCACGCTCACTACTGCTGCTTCGAGCTCAACTCCTGTCCATGGAGTCTGCCATCCCACGCGACGCGTTCCGCTCGGGTCGATGGGGACGTCCTGTACGTGCTGCATGGGCCGAGATGGTGTACGCGTGCGAGAAATCGGCCGTTCTGATGGAAGCAGTTGTGTTTTTGGAGGCTAACGTCGACCCGGAATGGCTGGACCCAGGCTGGAAGGCGTCTCCACTCCCGTCGGCGAAGAACGCCATCGCTACTGCAACCATCGCGTCCGCAGCCATGCGACTGTACTCACTAGATGACGCGATCTCCTATGGACGCTTGAAACGTGGAGGGAAACGCAAGCAGCGCAACCCGTCGAGTGCCAATTCCAGCAGACCAGGCTCGCCACAGAAGACTGCCATCATCAGCCAGGAGTCCAAGGCGTCCGAACCGGTCTCGGACCCGTCCGAGCTGCCATTTGTGGGTCGGCTGTCGACCGGATTGGTCGCGCTAGCCAACAAGATGATCCACAACATGTTGGAAGCGCAGCGAGAACGCTCGTCAACTCCGTACGCCTACCGCAAGGCCAGAAGCGAAGTGGCCGCCATCACGTCGCTCACAGACGACCAAGTGGAGCAGTGGATTCAAGCGAGTGCAGCTCACCAGGCCCAGGCAGCGTCAGCGTCTGGACAGAGCGGGTCTGGACGCCACGCTACGCCGAAGAGGAAGCACCCAGGCTCTCAATCTTCAAGCTCCAGTGGCCAGCGGTCGTCGTCCGGTAGGAAACGCAGAGCAACGCAAGGCTCGGGAAGTGCAGCTCCAGTCCCCGTCGTGCCTCCAGCTGAGACGCAGTATGTAGAGCTGCGATGCTTCCAGATGAAGACACTGCAACACTGCTTCCCCATGGGTAGTGCACAGGATCTGACGCTGCGGTCACGTTTGGAACACATCATGGACATGTTGCTACGGAACGAACTGGCTCTGGCGTTCTCTGCGCCCGTGAACGTGAACGAAGTGCCTGGCTACGCGGAGTTGATCAAGAACCCCATGGATCTAGGCACGATCAAGTTCCGGCTAAGTCGTGGGTTCTACGACCAGCGCTTCGAGTTGCTAGTGCACGACGTGACCCTCGTGTGGGAGAACTGCTTCACGTTCAACCGCCTGGACGCCGACATCTCCAAGTGCGCCAACCGGCTTCGATGTGAGTGTCTACCATGTCTATTACTCTGTTGCTGACACTAATCTACGCTGTGTGGTTTTGACGGTGGTAGCCATCTTCAACCGACTTTTTGAGCAGTGGGTCACGAATGTGCCTCCGAACACGCCAGTGACGCATCTGGCCTCGGAGGAATTGTGTCGACAGTGTGGTCAGATGAACGCGCAGGAGAGTATGCTGCTGTGCGACAGTTGCGACGCAGCCTACCACGCCTTTTGTCTCCAGCCGCCGCTGTCGTCGATCCCACCGGATAATTGGTTTTGTCCGCGATGTCCCGTCAAAAAGTTCACTTTGTAGCTCCAGTCGCCGTGATATTGACAGAAATGGGGAATAAGTAGACCTTTTTACGTTTCTTTTTGGGTCATTTGCGTCTAACGGCAGGTGTCTGGAGAATTCAAGTGACGAGGGACCATGAAGTCATGCGTTGGCTTGTCTAACGTAACTGAAAGTGTAGCCATTTATAGGGATCTATTGCAGCAACGTCTCTCCAGCTCGAAACCCCTGCGAACGTCTCATGGCTGCCACTGCCAAAGCTTCCGCTGCGCTTCTCTCGACACGTCCACAAACTTACAGTGACGAGAACAGCAGTGACAGTGACAGCGTGGCGATGGCTCCCGCTGACGTGGTGGACGTGGACATGGAAGATCTGGATCTGGCAGCTCGAGCGCCTCGAGCTGGATTCGTGACCGCGTGCGCAGTGGAGTTGGAGCGTGTGGAGCTGCTGCAACAGGCGGATGGCGTGCAACAAGCGCTGTTCGGGTTCGGCTGCCTGTTGTCTGGAGGTATCTTGGCTGTCGTGGCGTCCTGGAAACCCAAGTGGAAGGTCAAGATGCTGCGAAGTCCGGCGCATGGGACGATGGACGCGACCTCGGTGCTAGTGGCGCATACGTTGACGTGGACGATGAGTAAGCAGAAGAAGAAGACGAAAAGATTTTACGAAGAGTGCGTGCTGTCCCAACCGGTGGATAGTCCGCCGTGGTTCGAGTTCCGGAAGTGTCGCTACGTGGTCGATGAGAGGGAGTCGCTGGGCTTCTCTAGACTGGAGAACGCTCTCGATGAGAAGCTGGGGTCAGCTCAACGACGATGTCTGGAAGGCAGTGGCTGGTCGACTTCGCAAGTGGAAGGACTGACTGGAGTGCATGGAGCTAATGAGATGGCGCTGAAAGCTCAGACGTGGCCCGACGTGCTGTTGAGGAAGGTTGCGCACCCGTTCTACGTCTTCCAAGTCGTCAGTGGGCTGGTGTGGCTCTGTGAGGGATACGAGGCCTACGCGACTGTCATCTTGGTGCTCTCCGCGCTGTCGATTGTATGGGAAGTGCACGAACTGGTGACGAATGACAAGAAGCTGCACGCGCGATTGGCTCATGCAGAACACAGCATCGCCAACGGCGTACGCGTGATCCGAGACGCGCGAGAGAAACGCGTGAGTCCTGCAGATCTGGTGGCTGGAGACGTCGTGGTGATAGATGAAGGCGTCATACCGGCGGATATCGCGCTGCTCTCAGGCCACTGCATGGCGGATGAAGCGACTCTCACCGGTGAAGCTATCCCAGTGACCAAACAAGCACTCGCAGCGCCAGATCTCTCGTTCCCTGTCGATACGAAGCTCAAGACAACACACCGAGAGAGTGTGCTGTTCGCTGGCTCCACAGTGTTAGAGTTGGCGCACTCGAGCTCAACACAGGGACACAGAGATGAAGCCAAGACTTCGACTCGTGGCGTGGTGTTAAGTGCGGGGTTTTCAACGTCCAAAGGCGAGCTCTTCCGCAGTATCTTGTTCCCCACACCTCTGCAACTCACGAAGCGTCTGGAGAGTGACAGCTATCGGTTCATGGGGGCTTTATCCACCCTGGCTTTCATCTTATTTGTGGTTCGTATGAACAACGCTATCCACGACCAAGGCGTGTCGTTCGGTCGAGCTTTCCTGTCGGCGTTCGACCTGGTCACGATTGCCGTTCCTCCAGCTCTCCCCGTCGTGTTGACTGCAGGTGTTGGCTTCGCATTGTCACGTCTGGAAAGTCAGGCCGACGTGACGTGTATCGACGCCGCACGGATGAACATTGCAGGCCATATCGACTGCTTCTGCTTCGATAAGACTGGAACTCTCTCCAGTGACCACTTGGACTTCCACGGGGTCGACGAGTGCTCAGCTTCGAACCAGAAACAACCGGCGTTCCATGGACTCCAACGTGAAGTGGAAGTGCTCTCTCCTCCTGCTATCATTGGCTTAGCAACGTGTCACGGACTCACTGAACGGTCCGGTCAGATCCAAGGGTATGCGCTCGAGAAGGACATGTTCCGTGCTACAGGCTACGCGCTGGAACCCGAGACGTCCGACAACACTGTGATACCTGGACAGTTCGCCGCACTTGTGGCGTCTCCGATCGGCAAACTCTTCGGTATTGTGGCTCGCTTCCCGTTCGACGCAGCACGTCAACGATCGTCTGTGGTAGTGGAAGATCTGGACAGTGGCAACCGCTACGTGTACGTCAAAGGCTCGCCCGAGGCCATACGCAAGATTTGCACGCCGAACACGCTCCCCAGTAATTACACAGCACGGGCACGTTCGTACGCGCATCAGGGGCTCTACGTTGTGGCTTTAGCCACCAAGAGCTTCGCTCCTGCCGCTGTATCTCCAAGGTCAGAGACGTCCGTGTCTCGAGACGCCGTGGAAAGCAGCGTAGGGTTCCTGGGCTTTATGCTGTTCGTCAATCAAGTGAAACCCGAAGCTCCGTACGTCGTTGGAGCATTGGAAGAAGCTGGAGTGGATGTGCGTATAATCACGGGAGACGACGCACTCACAGCGATCCACGTCGCGCGTAAGATCAACATGGACATGCAGTCGTCCGTGCTTCTTATCGATGCACAGCGACACGAAGGCGATGAAGAGTTGGCTGTCGTCTACACGGACGTCGATGAACTGGCTCAAAGCACTCGGGAAGGAACTTCTGGCAGCTCGGAAGGCACGTGGGCGCCGGTAGACAGACATTCATTCCTCTCTCTCGCCGAAGGTAGCTCCATTGCAGTCACTGGAGCTGCGATCGAGCAACTGCTGACCTCCAGTGAAGAAGATAAACCCACTGACACCTCGCCAACGACGCCTCCAACGATATCTTACACAGATTTTGCGGAAGAATTGGTCGGTAGAACGAAAGTCTTTGCACGAGTGCGACCGCATCAGAAGACGTGGATTGTGGAGACGTTGATGACGCGTCATAGCGCGTGTGTGGCCATGTGCGGCGACGGAGCTAATGACTGTGGTGCGCTGAAAGCGGCTCACGTTGGGCTCGCTCTCTCTAAAGACGACGCTGCATTAGTGGCGCCGTTCACGAGTCGTTCTCTACGTGTCAGTGACGCCGTGGAGCTGCTACGCGAAGGACGTGGCGCTCTCAGTGCAGCCTTCGTCGCCTTCAGATACATGGTCGTCTATTCTGTCGTACAGGTGACGCTGTCTGCCACTATGAACGGCCTACACTCGCAGATGAGCGACTCGCAGTTCCTGTTCGACGACTTAGTGGTCGTCTTTATCCTCTCGCTGTTGATGGTACGCACCCCAGCAGCTCCTCAACTGGGCTCTTCCGCGGTCGCTCCGTTCAATCGAAGACCGCCCAGGACGTTGTTTGCTGCGGAGATCTTGCTGTCTCTCCTTGGACAACTGGTTATTTTCCTGGGGTGCGTGTACATCGCATTGGCAGCAGCAGAAGCGCGACCGTGGTTCTGTTCAGCCGAGAAGGCGCTGGAGCTCACGCGAGCCGCGTCGGACGGAGGAGAGAGCGATCCAGACGTCGTTCAAGTGCCATGCTACGTGTTTGTACCTGGAGAACCGGCAGACCTCACGTCTCACTCGTACGAGAACAGCGTGCTGTGGCGCTTCGGACACCTCCAATACTGGATCGCTGCTGTGGCGCTCAACGTCCGCGACAATTATCGAGCTCCGCTGCTTCGTGCGAACCGCTCGTTCGTCGCCTACGCGTTCGTGCTGCTGATCATTCTGCTCGTACAGCTTCTGGGTGATAATGGCAACTTGGGAGACGAAGAGACGTCAACGTCGGCAGCCGTGGCGAAGGCCTTAAAGTCCCGTGGCGTGGACGTGAGCTTGGGAGCATTGGAGCTCCCTGTGGGCTTTGCGTGGTCTCTCTTCTCTCTGTTCCTCTTTGACGCGGGCTGCGTCTTCTGCTGGGAGATCTTGGTGGTCGGCATGGTGCTGCCTCGCTTCCAATTGCAACATCCTGGTGGTATCTACAGACGCAAGGGTAAGTTTGGCGGCTGGAGATCTTACTTTGGGATCGCTGGAGACGATAAGCAAAGTCTCGTGTCGCCGTACGTTAATGAACGTAATGGTCTGCTAGGTGACAAAGCGGACAAGTTGGAAGGAGGAAAGCAAGTCAACATCAACCGACAATCGCTGCAGCCGATCGGGACAAAAGGAAACGCTGATGCAGTAGGCAGCGACGACGACGAAGAGCAAGACGTGCTGGATCTCCATCCGCCCGAGATTGTCTGAGACCTATGAAGAGATAAACGCAGACATATTCTATCTTATCCTTTTGCGTATTGTGTCATTGTTGTGTATTCATCAGACGATCTCCATGTCCTCTCCGTCCGGTGCGAACGTCGGCGACGTGGCTAAGAAGCGAAGTTCTTCTTCTTCTCCTTCTGCTAGAATTGCGCCGCCGTCTACGTCGCAGGCGTCCAGCTCCCACAGCAAGTCGATGGAGTCTGAGTCCCGTCCTAAATCAATCGCGAGGTCGGCAAGCACGTCCTCCTCCAGTCCAGCGTCTGTGTTGCCTTCCAACGCGAACGTCTCGTCCGTCGGCAGCTCCAACAGCTCGTCAACAGTCGGTAGTGGCATCTCGTCAAGACCCAGAACACTCACCTGGTCGACGTCGTCCGAGCTGTCGGAGCTGCTACTTGTGGGTGGCGTCACGTGTTTCCTCTTCCTGGGTCTGGGTGACGCCGGCGCGGACCATAACGGACGGCCAAACAGCACGCGGTACGTGGCCAGACAGCGTTCCCCGAACTGCCAGCTTCTGAAGCTGCCTAAGCCCACAGAGCCCGCCACCAATTGCTGTGAATGGGAAGACCCAGCTACTACCGCATTGGACGCCTCCCGTGCCACGAAATGGTCTGCCAGCAGGTGTGCGAATGCTGCCGGGTCCTGCGACCGGACGTCCGCGAGCCGGATCGGGTCCGCACGCGACGTCGCGACTCGCTGACTGCTGCGCTGCTGGTGCTTGGACCTCGTCCGGCTGTGGCAATTACGGCGCTTACTTGCACCTACGATTTCCTGCGTCGCAGTAGATGCGTCATCGAAGACGTAGTCGCCTATAGCCGACGTTGACGCACCGGAATGATACGAAGCTGAGACGTGTGGCACCTGTACAAATTGGTGAAGCTGACGTGTTAGCACGAATAGAGCTGGAAGCGAGAAAGAGAGCTGACCCACGGACGATGGACGAGGAGAGGACATGGTGTCGTGCAATGCTGGAGGTAGGCCTGGCTGGACCTGTGACGGCGGACTGTGGCAGATACGCTGATGGATACGCTGGATCTTGAAAGGTCGCAATTATTGTGTTTACCCATTCGGTTCGAACGGCATAGTAGCAAAGTGCTGAGCCCTTCACAGAAACAGAGCTGGATAGAAGAGCATTTCGGGTTAACGGCCATTAACTAAGTTTTATATCTGGAAAGACACAGTGTTAAGTTGCGTCAAGATGGAGGATCTCGAGACGTCGGCGACGCTCGAGTTCCATGGCGCGCGATACGTGGTGACGGTGCAGGTACAGCAGCAAATGCTGCACGTACAGGTAGAGGCAGCAGACGCGGTCGCGGCTCCTTCGAGCGTTTGGATGGGCAAATTCCCAGCTTCAGACGTCGAGCAACTTACACGCCAGACGGGCAACTCAAAACGATTCCCAGTGTTCGTCCAAATGCTGCTCACTGCACTACACCGACGCAGTGATACCGTATTTGTGGATCTCCTGACGGCCGCAGACCTGGATCTCTACAGACAGCGCAAATTACAGCCTGGTGCCATCTCGGAAGGGTGCGATAAAGTCCATATCTAACAGCAACTTTAAAAAAAATACTAACTCATAATTATTGTAATAATGTCAATAGGCTACCAAGTGCTGCTACGAATACAAACAACGGGAAACGATACTTGATATTAACTTATGCAGTCGAGTTTGACCGAGTGCACTACCCGCTGCCTTTGACTCAAGAGCTCTCGCCATCTCCAGAAGTTTTGCAGCGGACGATCCGAAGACTACGACAGGCATTGGCTGAAAAAGAGAATTTCTCAACTAACGACAGCAACACTCGACTAACCGAGGAGAACGCAGCGCTGAGAGAAGAAAACCGTTGCTTGAAAAACACATTGAAGCAATATTGTGACAACACCAATGGGAACGGGAGAAACTCGACGGGAGAACTTCAACGAGAACTTCAGGTGCGTGTGGGGTCATTTATTTATGCTTTGGAGGTAGTATAAGCTGCTGAATTTAGTGTTTTTTAGGCGTCGATTGAGGAGAATAAAGAGCTGATCGCACTGTATCAGCAATTTCAAGAAAATTCGGCCGTGGAGACGACACGGTTAAGAACAGAGATCAAGTATGTAAAGATTCGAGGTATAAAAGCTGCAGCGTTCTGACAATAATTTAAACTGTCAACTACTGTAGACAACTACGACTCGCTTCTCAGCAAGATGACCGTACGGAACTAGCGAGACAGGAGCGAGAACGACTGGAGACTAGACGCAAGATTGTACGTCGTCTTGATCGCTGCTATCGACGTCGTTCTCGAATTTTGACCACATCTGTATCATTAGAAGGACAGCAACGCTGCCGTTCAGGAGACTCTGGCGCAAATGGTGCAGCTGAAGGCGCAATTAGAGGAGACGCAGCTTAAAAACCGCGAGCTTCTTCGTCAACTTGCAATCGCGCGTGCGCAAGCCGGACAACACGGCACGCGGCAGCGTCCAGCGCCCAATACTAACCGCGGGAACGAGCCGCGTTTCGCAAGGGGTCGATCGCCCTCTACGCGTCCTGCTCAGTCTCCAGTACGAAGACAACAGCAGAGCAGCGCCGTCTTCCCGGCGCCGTTCACAGCCTCCTCCACTCACTACGGACCTTCAGACGATGAAGACGTAGAAAGAAGCGCTCGACGCAGACCCGCGACTCGTCCAGCATTCCGTCGCTTTGATCCGACTGCGTATCAGCAGGAGAAGGAACGTAAACTACGTGAAGCCCGAGCACGTTCTAACCCTCGTACGCGACTGTCTCGGTCTAATGGAGGCTACACGTCGGATAGCTCAGCGGGTGGCTACTCTTCAGCCGAATCCCGAGGCTCCAAGACTTCATCTCGTTCTACCCGATCACGCAGCTCACGACTATCAAGAGAGCGGCAAAGGGACGTGGATGCTCGGCTTTCCTCCCCCAAGCGTGTCATGGAGCCTCCTCCACTTGATACGCGACGTCCACACGCTTCGAACAACTCTCCGTTGCCTCGTTCAGGTCGTCCCCTTAGTCGTGGACGCTCGCCGTCTCCAACGCCGTCAAATTCTAGCAGAAACATGCGGAACAGTACGTTAAGAGGCTCCACAGCCTCGTCACCACGCACACCTCAGCAGATGCCTCCGCTCAAGCAGAACCCAGTCTTGAAGCGAAGGAAACAGCCACCACAGGCGCTACTGGACACGTCTGCCGACTCTTTCAGCGACATCGACGACCGCCTTACAGCTCTACAACAATTCCTAAGAGAGGCTAAGCAAGGAGGAGGAGGAGTCGCTGGAGCGAGCACTGCAGCGTGAAACAAGCCAAGTAGATACAGTAGACTCATTATTTGTTGCCGAAGTATGTGCTAGAGATTATGAACAAGTACAGTAGAAAGAAGAAAAGCTTGGAGTAGCTACAGCCACACGTTGGTCTCATCCGTCTCGTGTGCGGCTAGTAGAGCAGCGGATTGCAAACTGGTGCTGGGTGATGACAGGTCGTCAGGGGCTTGGAATGGCTCGGGGATCGCTGAACGCAACGCTGGAACAGCTACCGCACTTGGGGTGTAGTCCACGCGACGACATTTGTTAGAGCTGCTGGCTAAAGGAACAGGTCGCTGTACCCATTGCTCGCCGTTGAGCAATGGTCGCAGTAGATCGTCTTCGATACCGGTAGGACTGGTGTAGTACTCGTCCACGAAGGCTGGTAGGGCGCTGTCGTCTTGAAGTAGTTGATCCAGTCGATTTAGCTGAGGTGCGGGTTGTGACAGAGAACTTGAGTAGTCCAGAGGACTGGGAGCTACTCGCGAGTGTTGCTGAGACTCTGTCGCAGTTGCGTCGGGCTTAATCGCTGCGCGGGACTGCTTCTGGAGATACTTTTGAGCGTGGGTACGGATCTGTACCAGTGTACGGGTGTGGACAAGACTGGAGATCTTCTTCCAGGACCTGCCAAAGCGTTGCAGGCCTTCGAGGAACAACTCGTGCTCTCTCTTGGTCCAGCGTCCCACCTGAGTTCCAATAGGAATTTCACCTCTTGCTGCTCTCTTCAGAGCGGGTCGAATGGCCGAGAGCGGGGGCGACGGCAGCGTTTGGCATGGACCTGGTGACATTTTACGCTTATGGATCGGCGCTGGAAGGAGACGACGTTCGGGTGGAGCAGAGAAGACCACGTGGGCTGAATAAGGTGGTGAGTGGCCATTGGACGCTGACGTTGAAGTGTAGACGGACATCGAAGGATACGACGATGGTCGTGGCTCGGTTGGGTTGTCTCCGAAAGGCGCGTGGACCGGGAGAGTGAATGTGTTGCTGCTAGCCAGATACTCTTCCCACGTGGGGCTTGTGCTGGATTCGGTGGCTCTCGGGGGCGCGAATAGGACGGGAGATGCCGGCGGGATGGAGGTGCGTGCCGGAACCATCGAGACTGAGCTGGAATGCGAACACAAGACTGAGCTGAGTCAAGCGTGCTAATGCCTCTAGACGTACTGAAACCACTTAAGATACTGTCGCGATCTAGCTCGATCAACCGGCGTATCGGAACGGCCAGCCGTTTCAGGTGTAGCTGGTATTATAATACTTGCACCGAGATGACAGACACTACCGTTCTTCCTTTGACATTCAGGTATAATGCAATTGCATTCATGAACACGTCCCGTGATAGGCAGTGGTAAGAAACAGCTCGACCCTGGTCGAGTTGACGCTGGTACTGATGCGGTTGACGAGCCACGCAGGATCTCACCAGGTGAGATCCTGCGTGGCTCGTCAACAAGGTGAGATCCTGCGTGGCTAAGCGTTACGCCACCGCTGCAGTTCCCATGTAAACTGGTCAAAGTCATGCCACGATTTGTCCACTGTACCATGTACAGTACTCGTGCTCGTGCTCTCGACTTGTCCGTATTTGGTCGAACATTTGGTCATCATCTCGTTTCCTGTGTTCGTGCTCGACAAATCCCACAAGCTTCCGAGTTCTCGGATTTCCTAGACTCTCGCGACTTGTTCACAAAACCGGGAGATCCGATGCCCGACATCTTGTGATTTCAAGGCTCGATTGGACGTCCATCGATTGCTGATGGAGCTGTAATGATACCACGAGCGACACCGACGCCGGGGCACTGGCAGTGTCACTGCAGCATGCAGTCGCGCACGACCGCAGTATCCGATATCCCTTACTAAATATTCATGTACTACAGATCCAGCACCGTGTACAGCTCCGAGTGCAGCTTAAAAAGGCACAGGATTCCTCGCTTCCAGCCGCAACACATCTTGTCGTCGCCTCGCACTAGAAATTCACAGTGGAAAATTGCGAGCACCGGTGGTGCAAGTGGTACGCGACTGACACGGCATCACATCGTGTGGCCACAGAGAAGAAAGCCACATGCTATTAGCTTAAGCTCGTCTATATCTCGAGGACATCAAACAACTCAAGGGCCTTACAACCCACGGACAGAACAGAAAGTGGCCTTGCAGTCCGATCGTACAGCAAGGAACCTGAACCTAAGCTGACTGATGGAGTCACCTCTCAAACATGTATTCTGAGTTTTACCAGACGCCGCACAGTTTAAATCAACCTACTATTGTGCCACCCTTGTCCGCCATGACAACGCCCAGCACTCGTCGCAATACCAACCGCACACGTTGCCGGCTCAATGACTGCAACAAATTCGCGCAGACGCGTGGGCTTTGCAAAGCGCACGGCGGGGGCTCGCGCTGCCGTCACCCGGACTGCCCCAAGCTGGCCCAGAGCCGTGGCCTGTGCATTGCCCATGGTGGCGGTCGCCGCTGCATTATAGAGGACTGCAACAAGCTTGCCCAGTCCAAGGGTCACTGCATCTCGCACGGCGGTGGCCGTCGCTGCACTATTCCTCATTGCGATAAGTTCTCCCAGGTTCGTGGCTACTGCAAGGCGCACGCGAAGGTGCTCATGGTGTTCAGATCACCGTCGTCTCCTACTCGTGCAGCACTCATGACGCCACCGGTCTCTGCTAGGTGCAGCCCTAAGACCACCCTGTCTCCGATGAACTCGAAGTTCTCCATTAACTTCCTCGTCAACCCTTCGGTACCTAGCAAGACGACGAGAACTCAACTCAAGTTGCCAGCGTATCAGTCGACACTGTCACCTCCACAACTACCTAACATCGTAGCGAGCGGACGGTCGCTGTTGTCATTCCACGAGCCTACATCGACGACGGTATTGCCACAGCCTAACGTGAAGTTACCGCCGCTCGCACTCCGACCGCTAGTGCCCTACTTCCAAAATTATATCTAAAACATGTATCTGTACTCCTTCGAAACATGATGATCATGCATTGACCGGATACCAACGACAGATGCTGCAATACCGAAGCCACCGGTACTGTTACGGTAGACTTTTACTACAGTAGTATTTTTTTTATTAAAGCTACCGGTATTGAGAGAACCTCGAAGTAAACTGTAAAACTAAAAGGAACAAACAAGCAAGCGATGCATGTCGATTATGGCTACTCTGGCAAGAGCGATCCGTCGATAAGGGCTTATCCCTTAGCTATGGCAGGACTTTATTAATAACAGCACCTACGTGCTATCCCGGAGAGACAGCACGCGTGCTCCGCATGCGTGCCGCGGACACTGGAAACCAGTCTGGATGTCGTATTATTAATAATACATGTAATACATGTACACGGACAGTCTGTCGTCTCTTTCTTATCAAGACGCTGCCGCATGGTTCTCAAGCAACAAGATTGCGACATAACGTTCTTTCGAGGTGGACGGAGCCGATGTCGACCAACTTGGTCGACATCGGCACAAGGTTGGTATTAATAACCTCCACTTGTGCACAACAAGTTGTGGCAAGCAAATCTCAACATGGCTCGCTCTTTCACCGCCTACATGTGTCAGTCTCACCGATTGGCACAGCGCTTGGTAAAGCAAAGCAGTTCAGTTTCCGGATATCGATACATCTCTATCGTCACTTGATACCGGTATCCAGCCGGTATCCTGTGAGATGACACTACGAGACGCCTGTCAAGAGTGGATTGCAAGGCGCTTGGTACGCTGTGGACGCCAACAGAGAGCGCATGCTACAGTCTATCTGTATTAATAGCCTACAGATAGATTGGTCAGCGTGTACCCAGATGCGCCAAGCACCTGAAACTTTTTGAGGCAGAAAACTTAAGATGCCTCCGTTGACTGTAGAGATCGACGGCTTTTACTCGAGGCTGTCCAAAGCACAAGCCTGATGTCGATGTGGCAGCGCTATCGAAGCCAAAAGCCTTACCCTTTAGCCATGTGTGAGTGAATAACGTCAACGAAATGCTGGCAGTAGGGCACGACAGCTTCCTGCGCCCACTGCAGCGTGTGGATGCGAATGAGAGAGATGGCGAGGATGTGAGGACGCCTCTACGCGGTGGGAATTTACGAGAGAGATCCGTCCAGCTGCGTCGTGTTGGTGGGCTCTGGAACGGCAGCCGGCACGTGTTTCGGTGCCTGCTGGGAGTGAATGGGGACACTCGAAACGATGTCTTGGCTCACTTGGCGCAGCCACCGCATAGCCGACACCTTATCGACACGTATAAATACAAACTACCTGTATTCTCATGTGCACCAGTAATGGCTGCGGATCAGAGTCCACAACTTCGACGTGTTCCCACACAAGCGGATGCTGTATCGATAACAGCCTCCGTGAACATTCTGGTTAAGGTCTCCACAAGCTCAGAGACCAAGGCAGAGGCGTGGACAAGAGGTCAACGTATGCCGTTACGCGGTTTTTCGGCGTGTACCCCAAATCGTCGGATCGAACGTACACTTGTCCGTGCGCTTGCTTGGTTCAAAGACAAAGCCGCGTAGGGGTGTAGGTTCACGGCTGTGCAGATTGTCCGCCTTGGACGCGAGAGGACGCAAACAAAATTTCTGAACCAAGCTAGAACTCGCCACTCCACCATTTGCCAAATCCCGCAGCTCGACACACTTCAGAGAGTCCGATCATGCCGACCTCAAGCGCTCGCCGCAACGCCAACCGTGCACGGTGCCGCATGACCGATTGCGGGAAGTTCGCACAAACCCGCGGACTATGCAAAGCCCACGGCGGTGGCTCGCGTTGCCGCGATCCGAGCTGTCAGAAGCTCGCTCAGAGCCGAGGCCTGTGCATTGCGCACGGCGGTGGCCGTCGATGCGCTTTCGATAACTGCTCCAAGCTTGCCCAGTCCAAGGGCTTCTGCATCTTCCACGGCGGTGGCCGTCGCTGCCACGTTGCCAACTGTGATAAATTCGCACAGGTGCGAGGCCAGTGCAAGTCGCACTCTAAGCTCATTCCGTCCGGCTCAGGCTCATGGTCTCCGGTATCGGTCTCAGGCTCGACGGCCTTTAACTCGGATAGTTTCACTCCTAAATCCACCATGTCGCCGACCAAGTCCAAGCTCTCGATCGAGTTCCTCATTAACCCCTGTGGAGTGGTATCCGACCGCAAGGAGGCGGTGTTACCAGGACTGCACATGGCCGGCTCCGCTCTACCTCACCAACGTTCGCTCCTCTCCTATCTCGACCCGATGACTACCTTAGCCACAACGGCCGCGGCGATGCAGGTTCGCCCATCGGCGACGGTGCCGATTCAATACCCACCGCTCATGCTGTATCGGTGATTTGATTTTCATTTGCATCTGTAACCTTACTTTAGTAGAACTCGCTGCGACCTGCAGTGTATTTATCCGTAAAATTCATGCCTTTTGCTTTTGATGAGCTGAGCCTCTTTGCAGTCGAGAGAGATCGACAGACCGCTGCCCTTCAGTCTTCAATGAAATACTCTTCACTGTACACAAATGTTCGTGCTCTCGTCAACCGTGCACACCGAAGCGCTGTTTTTCGTGCCTTACGTTAGCACAGATCCTGAACTTGATCCTGGACAGGGTCAAGCGATGACACGCTTCCCGACCGTTTTGCTCTCTGCTGGACCGAGTGGGTCCCTTGCCTTTTTCTAGTTCTAATAGCACTCCGCACCGAAATCGTCTCGTTCACGAGGTGCTCGTGTGGATTAATTTGTTACAGCTAATTTACGCTTCGCCCCTTTGACAGTGGCGCAACCGTGGCCACTGTCCAGCAGTTTTAAATACACTTTCACGCCGCATCGCGAAAAGACCATTTCGTCCACCTTGGTGTCCTTCCACCAACATGTACACTGCGCACGTGACGGGCGGCTTTGGAGAATGTCGACGACATGCCCGAAGTTCGAACACTGTTCGAAGAAGAGACGGCAACGTCTCGTTCGCGAAGTGGCTCGGTTATGGTGAAGCAGATGGAGGCTTGCATGGACCTCGTGACGAAGATGTGGAACGGCGGCACATGTACATGTATGCCTGTGCCGCCGTATGCTACATACGGCAGATGACCGAGCTGCTGGCACTGCGGCAGTGCAGTGCACCTCCAGCTTTTGGTGTATGTACATGTACATGTACATGTGCTGCTCACACTTCACCGGTTTAAAACGACATAGTGGTGTTAGTGACAACTTTGTTTGTTAAATGCTGCTATGTCGGATGGAATGAACGCTGAACGTTGGAATCAAAAATTGTGGACTGGTTGCAAAGTCCTTTGAGGCGTTCCCCGGGAAAACTTAGCCAAAATGCGCAGCAATCGCCAGTTACAGTACGAAACCCTACAGTATGCAAATTTGAGCAGCGTGTGCATTGAACATTGAAGTCAGGATCGGCCACAGATACATGTACCCTACCGGTACGTGCCTAAATACAATGAAAACGATAATACATGTATTAAAACGAGGCGGCTACACAACAGTACATGTACTAGTACTGAGCTCTCCCTCTCTAGTACAGTACTGGTACGCGTTCTGTGAGCCAATCTTTGTGACCTCGTATTTCTTGAAGCAGACCGGAGCTTTTGGCCTGGCAGAAGATGCCCATGCTTCTTCGTTAGCAACTGGGGCTGGTCGGGTGCATCATCCGATCAATTCGCCGTCTCTTTTTCCCATTGACATCGTCATGACGGAGTCAGCTCGAGGTTATCGTCACAACGTCACTACATGCGTACTGGCTGCAAAATTTGCAGCACCAATGCAGGCGCAGCGTCCCTTGCCGTCTCAAATGCTCGATGTGAATCGAAAAACCGAATCCCAGAGCAATTCGAAAACATCTCTCCTGGAGTCAACACCTTGTGAGCTTGGAGCGCACTTTTCGCCAGGTCGAACGAGCTCACAGATGGAAGTGAGCTCCAATCTTGTGAGTGAGATTTAGTAGATGGCCCGCTGCCAAATGCGCGTCTTCAACAGTGTACCGCGGGCCGCAAAGACACTGTACATGTAGCGAAAAAGCTGGAGACTGCGACCGAATGTCGAGATCTAACGCCTTAAGGATTATACAATAGTACCCGAATTCGAGGCGGGTGGGGATCCGCTGCGGTTGAGAGCAAATACTTTACGGACTGGACCAGTCAGTCTGACTGTCAGGTCCCGGGCCCGAGGAGACGGCAAGACTGATTCAGCCATGTTCAACATGTAAGACGGCGAAATGACAACATCCGGTTCATCCGGTTTGGTAGCCGGTCTTCAGAAGACTCTTCTGGTCTCATTTTCGTCACTGCACAGCGCAACGCGTGTCCAAGGAGACTGACGTGCTGCTCTGCCAGCAGCTCTTGATGAGCGCCATTGAGGCTCGCCAACAGACTCGAATCGATACAGTTGAGTACGTGACCTGGCTGGACGGACTTAACGGCAGAACTGGAGCTTAGCGCTTACGCACACAGTAAAAACGAACAGGGTCCGATTGCAACTGAACACCACACGTACACTACAGACTGCGCTGTAGGCTACAGCACATCTCGGTGGGCTCACAAGATGTCGGCAAGGTTGTAACTTTCGCAAACAAGTTTTGGCCAAATTCTTGATGTTTTACTTTTTAGAGTTAACTCTTTCACTTTAATAAAGAGTAAACACATCAGGAATTTGGAAAAAAGAAGGATACTACCGTACTAGTATTTCACTATCATTTCATTTAGAAATGAAATGATATACCTGTAGTGTCCTTCTTTTTATGTATTTCCTTTAAAGCTTCTATTTGAAACCATTTGAAACATGTAAGACGTACACGCGCAGGTCGGTCTTGCATCTTGTTTGCATCAATAATGTCTCGAGGTGGTTGTTCGCTGGCAATTGGATTTCATTAGGATAACTTCATGTATTTTCAGGACCCTGTGTCCGATTAGCTCCAAGTACTTCGGATTTTTGATATTTTACCCGTGTTTTTAAATACAAGTCTTTTTTTAAAAGCATTTGTATTCCAAAGTTTGTTTGGAGTCCTAACCTCCCAAGAAACGGAAGTACTTCTTTCTCTCAACATGTTCAAATGTAGGTTTAATAGAAGCAGACTTGTCAATTTAGAAAGTAGTATTTACGTGTATTAATAGTACGAGTCTGTACATATTTTCGGTTTCTATGATAATTTACATGAACTTACTACATGTACTAGACAGTACAGGTATGTTGCACAGAGCTTCGAAGTCGTTGGCTTCATCCTTTTACATGTACCGGTCGGTATGTTCTGTAGCCTGAGCCCAGCCGGAGATCAGATCCCAGTATCTTTGAGTCGGGCCTACCGGCGGTATTTTAATATTAAATAGTACTGTCTGGAACCAGGTATTCTTATAAAGAAAGATATTTGAAGCAAACCACGGACCTGCGGCGTGCCAGCATTGTCAGCTGATCCAGTCAGCGATGGCCGTGAAGTCCTCACTGAAGAGGGATTACCAAATCGGATATCCCTCTGAATATTCTAAACTGCAACGGTTTCTCTGTCTGTATGTGTGGTGACCACTTTTGGGATCGAAGATCGAAGGTTATAATTGCCAAACAAACCCGCTACGGATCTCGTGATGGCAGAGTTTACCGAAATTCGGTGGAGCATAAGGACGGAGCATATGCAGATAAGCCAAAAGCGATGTGGGCACACAAAGTGGCACATCTGTGTCGCTTTCTGCCTCGTCGCGGTTTGTAGCCACCTTCCCCATCCGAGGCCGTGCCGTCGGGTCGGAATATCGTGTTTCTGCTCGAATGCGACCCGAAACGAGCCGGCGGGAAGCCCCGTCACGTTGCCGAGGCACTGTTCCGCCTCTTTGTCTGGTGACCGCGCTCTTGGTGAGATGACACCTTGAGCAAGAAAGTAGACATGGCCGCAAATAAAAGAACCGGCCGATCTGGCTAGGAGCTAATATTCCATGTACACTTCAATAGGTGGCCGTAGCGACAGCGGAAAACGAGAACATCCACAAGCCCTAATTTGTACTGACGTAAATATTAATGCATCATATCGGTAACACTGTTCAAGCAAGCAAAACTTGCATTCCGCGGCGAGGTCTGTCATCGAAAAAGGCACGTGACAGAAGAAAGTATTATGTGGAAGCGGTACCCTCGGGCCGTACATTTACAACAACAAAAACCCAATGGAAAAAGGTTGCCTTATCGCTATTAATAGTTTTCTTTTTTCAGGAGTCTATAGATAAATCATTTAGAACATATCCAAAACGCCAGGATAACAACGTCGGTGTCCACGTGGGGCCCGGTGGCTGTACGCGGCCAACCGCTAACGATGGTGTTCGAAGTTTGAACGAAGAGTTTAAACTTTGTCGAGAGGAGTCGTCATGTTCCTTACTGTGTTCACGCTCCGCCACCCCCGGGAGCAGTCGTATTGATAATGTTCAAAATTTCACTCTTGAATTAATGCTAGGCTAGCATTCCGCACAACGCGGGCCGCAGAGCGTACGGTCCGATTAGATTTATTGCATGTACCGGTACATGTACAATTTCAAGCTTCGTCTGCCCCTGTGTCAAACTTGGCGCATCAAACGCGTTTCTTTATTCGAATAAACATTGCAAGCTGTCGTGCTCACGAGACTCGTCTTGCAAGCAAGTAAACGTGGCAACTGGAAGCGATCGATTGAGTTCGAGAGACCATACCCTCGTATGTAAGAACACCACATGCAACGCGTTTGTTTGTTGCGTAGCTCTGTTGGACCCAGCTGTCGCGACGAGCATGGCTGGGAGGCTAAGTATGCTAGTCTATCCGGCACACGGCCCCCGCAACCGCTGTCTCTCTCGCGTCCATAGCTGGTACAGTACAGGTACTGTATCCGACCTGAGCACCGCGTAAGCTGCAGTCGCATGTGCTGGTCCCGTTGCTTCCTCTCTGCTTGGTTGTTTGCCATCTCGTTCAGCATTGTGCTCACTTCTCAATTCACCGCCATCCGCAAACACTGTACTGCTAGCGCAGCTTCGTGTTGTGTCTTTAAGAGCACCTTTTTTCCATTTCAACCTCATTTGGTCTTCATGCCGACGTCCAGTACCCGTCGCAATGCCAACCGTGCTCGGTGTCAGTTCGCTGGTTGTGACAAGTTCGCTCAGACCCGAGGACTGTGCAAGGCTCACGGCGGTGGCTCTCGTTGCCGTGACCCGCAGTGCAACAAGCTCGCTCAAAGTCGTGGCTTGTGCATTGCCCACGGTGGTGGCCGTCGCTGCCAGTTTGACGGCTGCCAGAAGCTGGCACAGTCCAAGGGCTACTGCATTTCACACGGCGGCGGCCGTCGCTGTACCATCCCGAACTGCGAGAAGTTCTCTCAGGTCAAGGGCCGCTGCAAGTCTCACTCCAAGCTTCTGACGGTCGGATTGTACTCTCCGTCCCACGGCGTCGTGACCCCACCCAGCTCGACCGGCAACTCGTTCATCTCACCCACTAGAACTAAGCTTTCGATCGACTTCCTGGTGAACCCGCTTTTGCGCAGCTCTTCCATTGGCGACAAGGTGCCGACCAAACATATTCAAGTGCCTGCCTTACGTCCCATTACGCAACTCGCTAACCCATTCACCTCGACTGGCATGGGCTGCCATCCTCGATACGACACACAAGTGTTGGGCAACCAGCGATCATTGCTGTCGTTTCGTGAGTCGCACGGACCCGTCACGTCCCACCCGGCACCCCAGCCTCAATATGCGGCCGCGCCGGGACACTACCAGGCACCAATTCTGCCACCGCTTACGATGTACCGCTAAGCCGCAGCACTTGTACCACCCTGTGAGTAGTTGAGGGTATGCATGTTAATAGAGACTACGTAGGGCGCTGGCAGTAAAGTTAGTGCCTCATATTTAACCCTTAAGTGAGCTTGTACTACACAAAATCCTCCCATAAAATTTTACGTTTGATTGTATTTCGTAGTAGTACTTACCAGTATTACTTCAGAGGTTGTTTTTAATTCTCCTAGTACTACTGAAGAACTTGCTCTAATACTGAACATTCATAACGGATTCCATACCTTTAAATGCATAATAAGAACTGTCTCAACAGTGATCTGATAATATCAGAAATATCGCTATTTAAAGCTTATTAACTAAGCCCATTTGCCGTTTCGTTCAAGGTTTAATAAACAACTGCATTTTCTGTTTTCGTCCTCGGTTCTTCACAAGCTCGTCCCTAAAAGCAGTTTGCATCGCACGAAGGTCACGCGCGGAGCTCGACAACATTCCCACTATATCCGCGGCTTTTTTTTTTTTAATATTTCATGAGAAGAGTAGCGTGAATCTTCAATTAAAATGTAACTTAGCCCTCTAAATAGCAATAGCTCTAAATAGTAATAGCTGTGGTCATTTGTACTGTGTACAGTATGTTTTGTCAATTTCTGCCGTTTGGAGTTGCTCTCTTACAAAGTTCAAGTAACTTGAGAACCGCTCCAGCAGAGGTCACCTGCCACATAGAATTGTGGAAATACTACATATACCGAGCGAAACTCCGGAGCGGTTTCTTGTAAATTTTGACAGGTGTACTGTGATTTACAGACCCGGTACCGGTAAAGCACAGATTATTTATGAAAACCAAGGGCCCGGATGTACTGTAAGGAGACTCCAACATCCCTGTGAAGCTCAACAGAAATGAACAAGCATCTGTACATGTACTGTACTGCTCGGTACATCCACAGCTGGGCCAGCAGGGCTGGCATCCAAAGTTTGGATGCCATCCAAAATTTGATGTTTGGATTCCAAACAGCAAGAGATGATCTGCAAGCTGTCTTGATACTGTACCGGTAATTAAGTTGAATTAACTGTTGATGGTGGAGTCTCCATTGTCAGCTGACGGGTACAGTACAGACGATCCTTTCTGTATTGATAGCGTCGGAAAGCCGCATTTTAATATTATATAGAGGAATCACATTAAGGAGTTGTACCCAATTTAAGGTACATACGACTCTTCTTTGACTCAGAGCTCACAAATTGGGTCGGCTGGCTGGCAAGCACAATATTTGTTCTTGCACTATTAATAGTAAAGCATTTTAATATTTAATTTAGGAAAATGCTTTTGTGCACTCACATGCATTACGGATGCTTACAGCCTCTTTTTCTGGGAAATTCAGGGAGCAAACAGCAGATGTCACTGTTATATTCTTTAATCCACCTTGACTGAATCGACCCAATCTATAGTTATCTACCGCTGAATAACGATATTTGTCTTTTTTAAATTACTATTCACTAATGAGAGGAAATAAGTCGGTTTATCTTAAGCTTGTAGGCAAGCGGACCCTCTCAATCACTTTATTTGGAGGGAATTACTATTGGGGATATTGAACGAGAGGATCGTCTGTAGCACCATGAAAATTATTGTATTTTTTAAGGGATACTTAAGTATTTGTAAAGCTCATTCACCAATACATGAAATATCATCCAATGTCTTTCTCAGCCGCTGCTGCAGCGCCTCCACGAAAAGTGCCTCGCCGGCGAGGCTATTCCCATGATGGATGCAGGCACGCTGCATTTTTTCCCCTCTGACTTAAGTACGTCCAAAAATATAAGGCCACCTGATTTACCTAAAACAATGTACGAAAAAGCGTACTTAAGCCGTGGCGATTCATGCAATTCTCTCTTTTTGAGCTGCTATTTAATACATGTATTGTGCCTTTCCGTTATTTTGGCTAATTAGGTAAGAAAAAGTATGAATTTCGGAGTCGTACTTAACAAAAAACATAGGGCAAGATGATTTTTATACCAGCAATTAGTTTAACTAGTGACGATTTAAATATATTGTATTACCGTACCGTTTTAATTCAAGTATGTGAGATGGCTGGTCGGAGCTCGTTTTCATTGAAATAGCCCGATTGCCGATGTCTTGGTCGGCATTCGGACATTTCAGCTGAAAAAAGCTCTTCCAAGCCTCATCAATATCTTAAAAAATTAACTTTTTAATTAGATATGAAGTGGCGCGGTGTCGTGCTCATGTATTTTTACGACATTCAGTTAAGCGCGGTTTCTACTGTCTTAGGTGTATCTGAGAGAAGCCTCAGTAGGTGGTATCACAGGTTTGTCAAGACTGGCAATGTAGACAAAAAGAGCTGCAGTGAAAAGACCTCAAAATGGCCTCAGAATGTGTGTTTGCTTGTTCAGAAGTATGTGAAAGATCATCCATGTTTTTTACTATGAAGAGCTGCGTGCTGAACTAATTCAATAGTCTAACATGCATCGTAACGTGTCAGATGCCACGATATGTCGTGCGCTTAAGTTTGACTTGGGCCTTACTCGTAAGGTTCTTACTAAGCGTGCTATGGAGAGTTTACCGCGAAAACGCCAATAATTTGTCCAGCGTCTTGCATCGATTCCGTTCTCATTCGTGAATGTCGCAACCCTAGGTAGCTTCTCCTGAATACGCTTGTCTGTAGCCCGTCGTAGTGATGTCAGACGCTGTGCTCGGGGGCGTGCCACGTACACGAACAATAAGAGCACGGACGCTGCATGTCCGTACTTCCGCAGGCGCGCCCTGTGCCAAATTGTAGCAAACAATGCTTCCATGTCACTTGAATTGAATGGAATCAGCACGTAATCCTTCTGGGGCGCATAATGGTGGGTTTGACGCCTTGATAGATTCATTCCACGTGAGACCTGACGTCATATCGAACACATGCTTGATATGCCCCAGTAGAACGTCGTATCCGTCCGCAACTAAGAACATGGAATCATGCCCTGGAACTTTGTCTCTGCACGGGGTCAATGGCTCCCCCGATTTCACGCATAAACGACAGTTGAGCCGAGGTGGAAGTTCAGTTGCGATTTCCATTTAATCTACACACAATTTGACAAAGTATTCGTATTTTAGTAATAATATAAGTGACACGATCATTACCAATACACCCATGCTCACCTACTTTTCTATTCACTAGACACTCTTCTTGTCGATCAGGATCTATTCTACGTACTGTAGCCTTGAATGCACCTGTGCGACAGTGGCAGAAAGTATTAGATCATGCAGTATTAATAATATCCATGAGAATTTTCTGCAGCACGACGCCTTGCGAGTGCCCACTCACCCGTACAATAACAGCAGCACCACCGCAACACTGGCCACCGCAAATGCGTTGTTGTTTCCCCTTAAGACGCGACCTGGTTAGTCACCTACAAAGAAAAACAGTTCAGTGTTAGACGTCATCGCTCAAAAATCTATAGCAAAACACCCGACAGCATGCCGCCTCATTGTCACTCATGCACCGTCCAATTCAGGATCCGAAGGCACCTCCGCACACTCTGCACGCTCCTTCGCCCGAGTATGTGCACCGCCTGCTACGTACACCACGTTAGTTAGCTTGTAAACCGCGCTTCTCCATGAGAGGGTGTGCTTTCCTGCAGTCCCTATTGGAGAAATGAAGCGACTGGATGGCAGGGAGTTGTGATGTGGCCCACATAGTTAATTTTGCGTTTTGCCTTCCCTCATTTTACCGATCTCTTGCTAAGACTCCGAAGTCCGAATAAGAAGTCCGATCGGGAGGACAAAAAGCAGAAAGGCACAATAATGGTTGGATGTCTATGATAAAAAGACGGTAAAAAGGTCTATGAGCAGCGTTTATTCCATTTTTTGGTCTTAAATCTTACTTTTTTAATTGATATGGATGAATATGATAGTTAATCGGACCATACTTGAGTTTTGTATGGGTATATACTGCCAATTACCTGCCAGAAAATATTGCCAGCCAATCACATTTAATCCAAATCATGATTTTACCCAATCCGATGTAGTAGGTCTAGGTGCGTCATTTAAGCCACCCGATCGAACGTTTCAAGTCCGATAAAACTCTAAAGTATGTGTATGTTCATTCAGTTGTCAAGTGGTAGACGTATCCCTTTTATATTTCTCTTTATCGGACCTTCGCGATTGGTTTGGAGGAATTGCAACCTGGCAACACATTGCGGGCTAAGGCAACTGCTGTCGCAGCATTTTCCAAGTTCTTAAATTGTGAGGATGTTAAGGAGGAATACGTAAGGAAATGTATTGAGGCGGATGAGGTTGGCAAGAGCTTTGTGTGCGTCATGGATAAGTTTGGAATGTATCTTGCGTTAAAAAAGGAAAGAAGGGTAAATTGCTGATTTGAAACACTGCAATGCAGTACTATCGCCAAACCAAATTTGGCTCCTAGAGAAATTATGTTAGCACCGAGCTTCGCTAGAATCGCGGCTGCTTAAAATGGGAAAAACTTTAGACAACCTTTCTGATAAGGGATGGTGGTGGCTTCGTAGCAAAGACCCATGTACAAAGGCTGACTTGAAAAAAAAAATGGTGGCGTATTTGTATGCCAATGCATGTTCTGAGAGGGACTACCAAGATGCTGCTCTACTGCGGCTGCTCTGGTTCCTGTTCAGGCGATCTTCGGACCTGTCGATGATCAAGAAGCGGAACATCTCTATAGATGCCGCTCGTGTCTTCTTCCTTCGCTTGGTCCGTGTGAAGACGCCGGAAGAACAAGGATTGACTCTCTTCCCCGACGCCGACCTCGCAACGTGCCCCTTGTTCGCCGTTGCTCCCGCCCTCTCCGTCTAAGCTGCATCGTGCTCAGCTCTTATCGGGAACCGTCACACCTCCTACAGAGGCCGGACCAAGGAACAAGAGATTGTCAATGATTGACATGCTAACCATCCTCGGTAGACTCGACGCGGGGGATAATCCCATGACTATAGCGACACGCTTTGGCCTAAACACTGCCAGGTTTGTGATAAACATCACGCACAACCGCGACCGGATATTG